TTAGAAAGTGCTGAAATACTAGACAAGCTGTCCTTGTATTGGTAATTATAGCCAAAATTTAAGCAATCTTTAAACTTATGTTTGTTAAACTTAATGGAATGAACTTCCGTGACTGCTCTTTGAAAATCAGGTTTTTCCATACCATGAATCATTCTTACCACTGCTGAATCTTCCAGGTTTTCCAACAACCTTTTAAAAGCAGCACTATATTATATTATAATGGCTCTCTTACTAATAGAATATACAGATGTATTGTCACCTTTTTCCTCTCATTCATTCAAGAACTCTGCAACTGCTATTTGCAAGGGATTGTGCTGAAGAACTTCCTCAATCCTACGCAATGGTCCTTAGATGCTGTCTGGAATCAGAATTTTCCAGGTTGGGTGTTGCATCACCCCCTCGCCTCTCTCTTTGCCTCTGGTCTAGGACATGACTTCATGATTGTTGAGCAAGTGCACAGTAGAGATGGAGAATACAGGTTTCTTTTTTTTCTTTCCCAGGTTACTTGCCACTGGAACTTTGAAAATAGGATGGAAAACACTTTCCATTTGGTGCAGTAGAATCTAACCCGAGATTAGCTCAGTTGCTTATAGCATGGTGCTAGTAACACCAAGGTTGTGTGTTTGATCCCTGTGTGGGCCATTCACTTAAGAACTGGACTCAATAATCCTTGCGGGTCCCTTCCAAATCAGAATATTCTGTGAAATTTCTGTGACACATTAAAATTACTTTCTCTGTAAACTGCCCTCTCTTTGTAAGATATAGTTTCCTCTAAGCCTTCTCCGATTATTTCCCCAGACAATGCTAATGCTGCATTTAGGCAGCTGTCAAGGTCTTAAGAGATTACTGGATCACACTGATTTTTTTAAGGCCAGTACTTCTCTTTGCCAGTAAGTGTGTGTTCTGGGAACTCACTTAAAGATGCTGATTTACTATATGCATCCCCTTTTACCTTGAATAACTCCTAAACAAAATGGTTTGTGGAACCTAGGAAATTGGTCAGAGTGAGGTTTTTCAGAATGAGTGCCATTTTCAGATCTCACCACAGTTTTGTTCTTATCTGCTTCACACCTTACCCCTCAACACATGCACTGCTTTGCCTTCTGTTCTTCTATGTAATTTTCTATCACCAATGCAGACTTCTCCTGCAGTGTTTGCTGCTGGAAGCAGGTGCTCTGTAGGTCCTCAGTTCTCTAACCTGTTTCAAGAGCCACCCCAGTATACACTCAGAGGCCCTCACTTAACTCTTTTCTTCTCTCCTTCTGTTACTTACTTTTACACAGTTGTACATGCTATCAGCCTGTTGTAGTAAGGTTTTATTCTCTCACACGCCTGTAACGTAGGCAGGGACTTAGTCAAAGGACATGCAAATGAAGCCACATAACATGTGGTATTGCACACCGACTGGCTTAAAAATGAGCAGGTACAAATTATCACTCCATAATGAAACATTCAATTGCAGCGAGATCAAAGAGCCAATGACTTGACTTAGTAAGATTTTTTCCTAGAGAAAGGCAACTGCATATGGCATCTTTAGTGGAAAATACAAATAATATGTGTAAGGCCAGCATATGAAGAACCACCACAAGTGGGCCTTGCACTCCAGGGCTTTGAACTACCGCACTGCCAGCACCAAAGCAAAAACAAATTGAGAGGAGCAGGTTCAGCCAGCTGCCCACAACTATGTTTACCTGCAAGGTAGTTTTATGTGCTCCAGGGAAATCTTGTCGGCAGGCACACCAAATTGAAAGTATTTCCATACTTAACTATTCAGATATATGCATGTGTGATAGAGGGAGGAGCACTGATCTAGATGAAGTCTGGCACATTCACTGCAGAATTGTGGAGGGATTGGACTTAGAAGTCATGACTCTGAAGAGATAGGATGGAAAAGGGATAAATGGATACACCAACACAAAGGGCAAGGGTGGGGTGGGTGCAATCCAGGGAGTGTCATTGTCCTGAAAACATAGCAACATTACAAAGATCTGTGCAAACTCAGTTTTTCAGATGAGTTAACTGTTCATTTTTTTTCTGTTGCTGGTGATTCAGGAAGAAAGACTCCTAGAGAAAAGGCATTAATTATATTTTTGTGAATTCTTCTCATATTCAAAGGATTGCAGTGCTGCAGTCAGAAGCAGAGCAATGTCAGTGCTGGCAGCAAGAGAGACCTTAACTTCACTCAGAAAGGATAAGCAACCCTTACCTCCCACTTTGCTTGTTTAAGTAAGTGTGAATCAGTAACCAACTTGATTTGCTCCCTAGCATTTGTATGTCAAACACTTCAGCTAACCTTAGGACAGAAAGAGGGTTATAGCACCATTAGTGTGACAGTAAAGTATCTCATTTCCTCAATAAAAAGGCTATTCCATATTATTTTAAGCTACTTTTATAATTTTACAAGGAGTTGCTTCCTTTCTAATATAGACATTTCACTCCTACTCCCCACACCAAAAATTCCTCCCTCTAATGCTGTTCACTACAGTGGTAGTCTTCAGTGCTGAAGGCAGATCTGCTTAGCCCCTTACTCACATTTTCTGACCTTGCTGCAAGATTTCAAAAACACAGTAGGCAAATACTGTTGCACTGGCTATGTTAACTCCCTCAGTGCTGAGCACTTTATGGAGATGCACCCAGCACATCCTCTGAGTGTTCAAGTAATGATTCTTCAAGTCAAAAGTAGAAGATGCTTATACAGCTACACATTGAAATATTTCGTAAGCATCTTCTCAAAATTATACAGAAAGAAATTCAGTTTTCAATCATTGTTCTCAGAGGTAACACCTAGCCTTCACAGGAAACTCAGGTGCTGAGTCTGAAGTCAGGTCAGCAGCTTTCTAAACCGTGCTTTCTGTGAAGACTGCTTTTTTAGAAATAAAGTGATCCACACTGAAGACTCTGCAGTAGATGATCAAAACACAACGATCTTGAAGAAAAACAAGAAGATCATGTCGCTTTTACAGAGGACTCAGCTGAGTCAACATATACTACTCGATTTGTCTGGTCTCTTGGGTGCATCTTGGGAACAACCAACTCAGCAGGTTGCAGGCAGCAAAAAAGGTTAATACTTTTTGCAACTGTATTTTTTTTTAAAGATGGTGACATATTTCAAGATTTGTTTAAACACTTTTTTGATGGTAAGCCTTTTGAGAAAATGAGTGCTCCAGACAACAGCACAAACCCAACATAGGTCTTAGTTGCATGATATCTTTCAGGTAAAATATCCCAGCTTCTGTCCTTGTTATAGAATAGCATGAGAAATCCAGAGATACACAGGCTCCTTCGACATGTGCAAGGCTTTGTATGCACAAATCATGCACAGCAGCAGGCATCACTGTTAAAACAGGTCAAACAAAAGCTAAAAAAAGAATAATCAAAAAGATGGCAAACCATAGCTGGTATTGCAGATGGCATATAAGGAGCAGCATCCTTGAAAAACTCACTAGGTAAGAAACATTTGAGAGAAAAGAGGACAATATGCCTACTGGCTTTTGTGGATTCCCTTTTTTCATACAGACATTTCCCATGGCTGAGTCATGCCAGTTTAATCAGCTCCCACATACAAAATCCCTCTTTGTGCTGTGTTTGCTCATTACTTTGCGTGCATAAGCCCCTCAGCTCTATTGCTGGCTAAATATACCTCTTGCTGGCTGGTTTGGTTTTGTGTGGCTACACAAAGAGCTGCTCTAGCATGACTGAGTGAACAACACAGAGTTGGAAAAGGCAAATGCAGGAGCTCCTGAACATCTCTCTAAAGCACTCAGCAGGTGAGGGGCACATTCACAGAAGGATGACACAAGGTAACCACCTTTCGCTAGGCACAGGAGGGAATTCGAATGCTTAATTCATAGTTTGGCATTCTGTTACAGCCAGATTCAGCAAGGTAGAATACAAGTTTGAGGTGTAGGTGAGGTCCCAAAGCATGCAGGTGTTCAGAGACTCAGCTGAACAATACAGACATCACTCTAGTGAGATGTTTTAATGATGGCAAGTTCATCATTCTGAACCAAGCCTAAAGATTAGCCTTGTCACTTCTTTTTCTGGGCACAGAATCATGTCTGTTTTTCTCAATCAGGGTTCAGAGTAAGTTGTAAAATGTCCAAGATTACCTGCTACAAGCAAACCCTTCTGCTCAAGAACAGGTGCAAGCAACCACGATACTAGAACCTCCAGCCGGAGGACAGGCTGCTACCACTAACCTAGGGGCTGCAGAGGGACGGAGAAGCAAAGAGGGCTGTATTTCTGAAGGGTCTGTCAAGTGCTGTGTTGGTTAAAAACATCTGTTGCATGTGTTTCCACGGAACTGTCTCTCCTGCATCTGCTGGTAAGTAATGTCTGCACCTGGAAGATACCATTGCTTTGTGGCTCTCACTCTCACACAACAAGCACAGTGCTCCCTGTATAAACCATGAATAATGATAAAAAACTGCAGTATAATCCCCCTGAAATCAGTCATTACCACAGTTAAACTGTTAGCCTATTAACTATCTTCAGGGTTGCCTTTGGGCTCTTAACTGTAGCTAAAACTGATTTTCACAGGGATTATACTTACATAAGGACCAGAGACAGTCTAAATAAAGCTATGGAGTGTTTGTTACCGGGCAGAACAAAATGTAACCATTTAAGTTCTTCACAGCATCTCTGGTACCAAGCTTAAACATCCTTATTTGCGAATGGTCTCAGAATACTTACAAAGTCAATAACTTCGCAAACCACTATTTTCCACAAAAGTCATGCAAAAATAGAAATGAAAACACTTTCCAATTATTTCTCTTTTTTTGAAGCTCCAAACAGATTTAATTAAAATAATCAAAAAAGTTGGTCTCTACTTAACGCCTTCATTATAAAAAGAACAATTAAAAATAGAAACTGAAGCTGTAACAGAACCAGATGAGTGTTTAACATTCCTGCAGTGAACTCCCTTCAGACTACTTTAGCAGAAGCCTAGCATTATCTGTTATTTCTTGAAATCCAAATTCATTTTTCTTCTTGATGAAAGATTAGACGCAACCAACATTATTGCTTTTATTACAAAATGTAAATAAATTCAAAATTGTAAATCTCTGTGTACAATTTAATTTAAAAATTAAGTCAACTGACAGTCTTCTATGAGCTGATGTCAGATGTGGCTATGGAAATAGATGAAAAAGATGAGGAAGAAGATGGTGAATATTCATTATTTGTTATTGATGCTTTTTCTTCATATTTTGGAGGAGATTCAGAGCAGAGGTATAGCATTGGTAAAATATCTGCAGGTGAGCTGCTTCCAGAAATTGTACATATGGTTTCATAGTCTCTAACAGCAACCATTCTTTCATCATCTGCAAGCTGTGCTCTATAAAACACAAAACTGTGTATTAGCATAATTCATTTATCTACAGTGAGTGAAATTCTACTTGACTTATATAAACATACATGTATGCACACACTTCCTAAAAATCCCTGAAGCAAAGAACTTGTACAAGAATTAGGAGTTCATTTGGTGGGCTACATTATGACTCATATGAAAATTCTGTTATTTCAGAGGGGAAGGGCAAAACAAGCTCCCTTCTAACCTCTCAAATCACCAGTCACAGCCTGGCTTATGGGCATTAGCTGCTTTTGGCAGTGCTATCTCACAATCTTATTAAATCTCCTTCTGATCCATAGCTCCTAAAGTATCTTCCCTTTTGTAGTATATTACATACATACTGTCCCCTTCCCTTATGAAAGACAGTTACTAGACTTAGAACTGCATCACAAAAATCACAATCCTGAGTAATTTGAAATCTCGCATGAAAGGCCATCTGAAACTTTTACTAGGCATTCCAGCAATCCATGACAGACATAAGGAGTCATATTCCTGCTCAGAGCTGGAGAAACAGAAGAAACCGGACATGACCAGATTGCAAAGTTCCCAGTGACATTCAAGGCAGGCAGCCAAGTATTCACTGTCCTCTTCTGACGATCACAACTGAATCCAAACTGGTTGAACCCACATTGTTCTGATACCCTGCTCATCTTGCCCTCAGCACATTGCTTCAGCTGCTTTCTAAGGAAAGAGAGCTCCTCTCTCCTCATGCCTCGTTCCCAGAGCTGACTCTTGCCTTTGTGCATGCATCTGTACCAATACTGAGTGAGGAGCCAGAATACAGGGCATAGTCACCTCATCTTCAGTGCTGGGATGAATCAGTGAGCGTGCGTGTTTAATAGAGACAGAAATACTAAAAGACAAATGATGAGGTGCTATGTAACAGATTGCAGTAATAAAAAAAAAATAATTCTGGGATCAGACCATGACTCAGCTTACTACAAGCTTTCTCATCCAGCACAGCCTTCACCACAGCACTTGCTGACAGAACACCAGGCAATGGACTGAAGAGGCAAATCACCTTTGCCTAGTAGCCATCCATATATGAAATACTATACCCTGCCATATTTGGGATCTTCAACCATGGCACTATGTTATGAGCAATGAGGCCATTGCTTCTCTTCTATTAAAGCACTTGGGAAACAATTTGCACTATTCAAGATGCCCTGTCTGCCAGCAAGTGCTGAGCAATGACAGAGCAGGACTGAATGAAAAACCCAGAAGTGGTATCAACTCAGAGGGTCTCTGTGAGGACACTGGGGAACATGGAAGGGCAACAGCTAGAGAACCCCCAGTCACAGAACACCAAAGCAGAAGGTCAGAGATTCTGGGTTTCTGCATTCAATGTTGAGGTGTTTTATGCACTCCACTAGACACTGTCTGAACAAACTGCCTCTTTGTATATATGCTCACAAGACAGAGAAGTCCAGACAGGCAATCAACAATGTTGACTGGATCACACAAAGTTCAGAGCACCAAAACTGAATATTTCTGTGTTGAGACAGTTGATCCAGCTGGAGAAGATTTTGTAGAATTGATGAAGGAAAGAGAGGTTGATTGGTATGTCAGCTCTCTTTCCTGCTCTGTGCACCAGCAGGGAGGGCTCACAAAAAGTCTGAGGAACTAGATTTTTTGCCATTCTCTCACCACCCTTTGTTTGACTTTTTTCAGTGCAGGATGCGCTCTTTGAGTTCTTTCACACCCCTTGATAATCCCTTTCCAAGCAACACTGCAGAAAAGGACTGTGTGGCCAACCTTGTGGGGGCATCAGGCAAAGCATCACCAGCTGGTCGAGGGAGGGGATTGTCCTGCTCTGCACTGGAGTAGTCTCACCTTGACTGTTGTGTGCAGTTTTGGGCACCACAATATAAGAAAGATATTGAGCTCTTAGAGAGTGTCCCAAGGAGGGCAACAAAGATGGTGAAGGGCCTTGAGGGGAAGCTGTATGAGGAGCAGCTGAGGTCACTTGGTCTGTTCAGCCTGGAGGAGAGGAGACTGAGGGGAGACGTCATTGCAGTCTACAACTTCCTTATGAGAGGAAGAGGAGGGACAGGCACTGATCTCTTCTCTGTGGTGACCAGTGACAGGACCAGAGGCCTGAAGTTGTGTCAGGGGAGGTTTAGGCTGAGTATAAGCTAAAGGTTTTCACCCTGGAACAGGCTCACCAGGGAAGCAGTCACAGCACCAAGCCTGTCTGAGTTCAAGAAGCATTTGGGCAACACTCTCAGACACATTATGTGATTCTTGAGGCTGTCCTGTGCAGGGCCAGGAGCCAGACTCAATGATCCTTGCTGGTCCCTTCCAACTCAGGATATACTAGGATGCTATGAATCTTGCACATTTTACCAAGCACATGGCAGGCAACCTACATCTGAACTCAGAGCCTGAAATTGCAGGATAGAGAGAACTTGTGGCTCTCAGTTTTCTGCACTGCACTGTAGCACTAAACCTGCATTATATGGGAAAACTGTGGTTTAAACATGTCTTAAAATGGCTTTTGGTGGTCCTCTTTGCAAACACATGCTTCTTCCTCCCAGCACCCCCCATGTTATCCATGCAGGAATGTCCTGGGAAGGTGTCCTGAGCCCTTCCTGTGACTGGGTGTTCCTGTAAACCCCTTGAGACTTCTAATTGGTTACTCTGTGAATCCTCCTAAACCCTATAAATGTAACATCCCCCACAATAAACTCTCTCTTGCCTCCTCTCCACGCCCGATGTCCTGTGTCCTGTCTCCGTGCCGGCCATGGGGCCATGTGCGGGGGGGGAGGGGGGAGCACCTCTCCCCTCCAGGCTCAGGGCCTGAAAAGACCCCTGAGAAACCCCTGCAGTTCCCTTTCCCCATCCCTCAAAGCGTCACAATGGTTCTTCAGATGGAAACGGAACTAGAACTGGGCCACCCCACGCCGTGGGTGGGGAAAGGGATCCAGACTGTACTTTTTCAGACAGGTGGTACAAAAGTCACTCTCTCAGCTGCTTGAAACTCCACAGCAGGTCTAGGTTCACACTCAGGACAAGTAATTTCTTCACACACAACCATTTGCTTTCTACATATATCAGTGAACATGTCAGAAGGGAGTTACAGCACATGCTGGAGTTGTAGCACAGACAGGCTCAGTGTGGTGCCTAACTCCAGCAGTAGCAGCAGCTGGTATGAAGCACCATCCAGCTGTGGACACCTTCACTCTGCCCAAGAAGAACAGTTATGTCATGTAAATTTTCTTTTTCAGCAGCAGGAGCTTACTGGCTCTTCTATTGCTCTATCCTCTGATTGTATTAGTATAACTCCAAGAGCTGATATATTTCACTTGCAACCTGAGAACAGGCAAAAACTTCTATACTGAACAAAATAAAATGCTTCTTCACACAACAATTCATGCCTGGTCATAAGAGCTGCTGTCTTCAACAAAACACTTTTGTTCTATCAATTCTGACATCTTCTCATCCCTACATCTACCCTTGTCATCCTGAATTGGCAGGTAGGCACTGAGTAATCAACAGACTCTCATGAGCTTAGTACAAAAAGAACTCTCTCTACAGCAATTTAGGTGGAAAAGCAGTAAACTGAATGAATTGTGTGTATAGCTAGGCCTTAACAGGCATTGCAACCCTCAACACAAGTCATCAACCTCAAGCTGGACAACCTCAGCCCATGGAAACGAAACACTGAGTATCTCCCTTCCCTAGGTGATATGAATATGCTCATTTTTCTTTTTTTTTGTTTGGGGACCAGTCCCCCCATGCACTAGAGTGTTATACTGGTAGCAAGGAAGAGTGAGTAAGGTTGTGGTTTTTTGTTTGTTTGTTTTTGTTTGTTTGTTTGGTTTTTTTATAGAGGTGTTTATTCTATGTGGGAGTTCCCTGGTGGCCTAGTGGTTAGGATGCAGCACTCTCCCCGCTGCGGCCCGGTTTCGATTCCTGGTCAGGGAACTTCTCCGGGCAGATGGAGCTCGTCAGCCCTGTAAGGCCATCCATCTAAGAAAAGGTCACTCTAAACAAACCTACGTCCTGAGGACCTCACTGCCACCGTCCAAGCTCGCTCAGCCCTGGCAGATGAACCTTAGGATTAAAGGGTGGGCTCAGCTCAGCGCACACTGTGTCTCACCTAAAAAATCCACTGCACAGGCTCGAAGGGTAAAGACCTTTCCGGAATCTTTGTTCACGAAGACTGGCCATGAATGAATGAATTATTCTGTGTTAATAAAGAAGAAAGCGATTTTGACAAAAGGCAGAACTCCAGTCTGGGTTGTGCTAACAGCAACAGAAGGAGACATTTGCTGTCTCCAGTACTGATGGGGAGAATGAGTTTGGAGGAGGACACTACAAAACAAGATAGTACAATGAGCTTGTTGAGGGTGATTGACTAGAGAACTGAGTCGCTCACGCAGCGAAGCTGAACCTCAACAATCCACCAGGTATACTTCAAAGAATTGCTAAAAAAAACCCCCAAAAAACCCCTCAGACATGTCTGTACTAAGTGTGGTAACAAGAATAAACACCAGTGCTAACACAAGCATCCCTTTACAATGGCATTTAGGCCTTCAGGCAGGGAAAGGGTTTGTGCTTGCTTGCTTTAAAAGAAGATTAGCACTAGAATTTTGAAGTACCACTGACATCAGGCACATAGTTGGCACAGCTGGTCACGGAACACACTGCCTCATGTGAGTGGAAAAATCTGGAGCACAGTGGAAAGTTCTTAAAGTAGCAGTCCATCAACTACTATGACTGGATACAGCTAGGTAGCTGGGGCTCTTAGAATAACAGAATTGTTAAGTTTGGAAAAAAACTTCAAGACTGTCAGGTCCAACTGACGGTCCAACCTAGCACTATCACCATTAAACCATGTCCTCACTATTAAACCATATCCACAGGATTTTCCAACACTTCAGGGGATGGCGACTCCACAGCTTTACTGAGCAGTTTGTTCCAACGCTTTACAAACCTTTCTGTGAAAAGGTTTCCTAACATACAGCTAAGATAAACCTCCCCTAGCACAACCTGATATCATTTCCTCTTATCCAGTCACTTGTTACCTGGTAGAGGAGGCTGACCTTCACCTTGCCAAAACCTCCTTTCAGGTAGTTGAGAGAACAATATGGTATCCCCTTGAGCCTCCTTTTCTCCAGACTGAAAGACTCCCACTCCCTCAGTCACTCCTCAGAGGATTTGTGCTTCAGACCCTTCATGAGCTTTGAAGCCCTTCTCTCATCTCACCATGTTCTAGCACCTTAGTATTTTTCTTGTCATGAGGGGTCCAAAACTAAACCATGGAATCACAGAATGGTCTGGATTTGAAAGATCATCTAGTTCCAGTCCCACTGTGCCATGGATAGGGATATCTTTCACTAGACCAGTTTGCTCAGAACTCCATCCAATCTGGCATTAAACACTTCCAGGGATAGGACATTCACAGCTTCTCTGGGCAACCTCTTCAGGGCTTTACCACCCTCACAGTAAAGAATTTCTTCCTAATATCTAATCTAAATCTACTCTTTCAATCTGAAATCTGAAATCACTCCTCCTTGTCCTGTCACTACATGCTCCTGTAAGAAGTCCCCCTCCATCTTGTAGGCTCCCTTCAGATACTGGAAAGCTGCAATTAGGTCACCCTGAAGCTTTCTCTTTTCCAGGCTGAACAAATCCAATTCTCTCAGCGTTTTCTCAAAGGAGAGATACTCCAGACCTCTATAACAAACTTGGTGGCTTTCTCTAGACTTGCTCCAACAAGCAATTTGGCAGCTCCTAATCCCTGAGCTTGGTGGTGGCAGCATCTAGCACATCAGCTATACAAAATGTATTTAAAGAATGGCTGCATAGGTAAGGTACATCATCTTGAGATGAAGTTGGCTTTGCAACCTCCCTTATCAGCTCTCTGGTTGTTCCTGCAATATCAAAGTATCCTTTGATCTCGACACACTGCTGGGGTAGGAACAAGGCAGACCAGCACAGCAGGTCTCACTGCCTCAAGCAGTGAGATAAGGGACACAGGAGAACTGAGCACACTGACAGATGAACTGATTGTGGGTAGATGTCATGAAGGGCTTGCTGCACTGGTTCTACAGAGGCTTCTAAAATATGGCAATGTGGATATCATGCCATTGAAGCACTGCTGCCAAGGGCATCTTCTCTTGGACAATCTGTGGAAGAAATCTACTCTAAGGGCCACTGATCTAAGACTTTGTTCTCACTTCAGACACTCTTTCCAATCATAATAAACTGGTAAGAGTTTAATCCTCATAAAGGACACTCTGCAGTTTGTAATTCCTCTTGTATATTACAATGTTTTAATGCCAATTCAAGTAATGTAGCTGAAGTAAACTGAGTTATGCACTAGAAAACTTTGTCATGGCTAGTAGTTAATTCACAGTGATTATATAAGATCATGATCTCGGATACCTTGAGAAACAGCTCAGATTTCCAAAGACAGAGAAGAACACAGTCTTACCCATTAGTGAAGATAGAGTGATACGGTGGAGGATTTTCACTTGCAGGCAAAACACTCGACATAAGACAATGTGTCACAGTTGGTGACATAGGGTCAGCAAAATAAGGAGGTGGTGGGGGTGGGAATACCATTACAGCATCACCTAGAATTAAAAACACCAATTACTACCTCTGAAAAACTGAGCACCACTGGTTACTTTAACAGTATCTTAGAATTTGTACTTGCCTTCCTTTTAAGATAGAGTGCAATGATCCCGCATACAGAATTGTTATATTCTAGGCTAGTAGAGAATGCCAGAGGTACATTCAAAACCAAAATCATTGAAAAATAAAGATGCAGCATATTCATAAATGAAAGATTTAATTTAGAAAATTAAATTTCTAAAAAAAATTAAATTTCTGGGGAGGGGGACAGTTCCATCTAGCTAAGAGACACAAACACTGTTGTCTGTCTTCAGAAACTGAAAGTGCAAAGCACAGTTACTGCTGGCTCATTTTAAGGGTAGGCAAGCATTTAGTTTTCCTCACGTGTCTAAAATAGGTCAGTCTAAGTTTCTGCACATCTACTGTAGTGTTATAATGAAAGAATTCAAGTCATTAATGGTTCCGATGACTGATTTTGTGCGCCTTGACAGTATCTCTACTGAATTACTTGCAGATCAAGGAACAACAACCACAACCAGGACTATTGATACACAGTTTGCTATTAAGTATACTATACAGCATATCTGCCAATTGCAACTTCAGAATTGAAAAGTTTGAAACTTTTTTTTAAAAAACAAAGTTTGTATCAGTCAGTGAGCTGGCATAATTTACATAAACATTCAAAGCTGCCTGGCACCCTTTCTTCCTTTGTAATTTGTGTGCTGGGACAGTTCAGAGGGCATCAAAATTCTTGATTTGTGAGGTAGGCAGTGTTTTCTAACAAAGTCACTGCTGTTCCAGAACAACACCGTAAATCAGACCTCTACCCTCAGCCTTTCAGTTTTACTTTTCCTGACTGAAGTATAAAAGGAACCCACTAATTTCGCTTTCTTGCCTTAAAAGACAATCTGAATTCCTTCCTACTGCTTTATCCTGGTGGCTGGAAAACTGACTTCAAAGCCTCCTGTTTCCTAAAGGTCACCAGGTTACAGGTCTATAAATAGGCTTGAATTTCATTATGGATTTCAAGTTCAGTCAATCAGATGACAGCCAAGCAGTGACTGACTTTTAATTAATCAGTGAGTTTATTACAATAATCAGAGTAATCAGAATTATCAGAACAACCTACACATGGAATGTATTCATTGGGCATTAAACCAGTGCTACATACAGAGTATTATTCTCTGCTAACACACCACATTTGCTCAAATACTGTGCAATTAATTGAGGCATCTTGCAATTATATCTCTGACGGATAGAAGATATGGCTGCAATTTAAAAAAAAATACAATACACTGCTTATGAATCAGATTCTTCTGTTTAAGGGGTCAGAGGCTCAAGGCTAAAAGAAATCTTAAATACAGTCACAGAATTCATTAGACCTGTGATCTGCAGTGTCAACTACATCCTTTGAGAAAGGAATTGGGATTGGACTCATTTGTGTCATGTTATGTTGCTTTCTTTACACAGTCAGTCAGACCTTCTTTTTTACGCCAAAGGAGGGGTTTTCCTTTTGTGAGAAAGGTAGCTGAACTGAACATACAGAAAACATATGAGACAAAGCAACATTTTTCTGTTTTGGCTGGCTTGAAATGCCAGAACTGAAATGCCTAGAGCTCAAATAAGTAATATTCAGAGATAAATAATTAGTGAGAAAAAATCCCTACTAACTCTCAAATATAAAGTTCCAACATTATTTACCCACCTACTGTAACATGAAAAGTTTCAGGGCTCTGAGGATGTTCTTCACTTTCACAAGATTCGTGGTTGAGATTTAAGTTTTGTTTCTTTTTAACGTGAGCTATCACGAAGAAACACAACCCAGTGAGCACAATCAAAGGTCCCATGATTTGAAGTGACAGGAATCCACAGCCCTGGAGGTTCACATCAGAACTGCCGGTGTGGTTGAACTGTATGGTATGCCAGCCAGGGCTGCAACCAGGAACCCAAATTCCCAGGATGCTAATTAGCATTCCACTAGTTAAAAACAGGAATCCAAATATGAGAAATTGGGCAAACTGACAGTTCCCATGGCAAAAAACAAGGCTGTACACCTGCTCATTTTGCAATTGTCTTTGTCTCATATACATCCTGGCCCTTGATCGTGCCAGCAAAACACAAACCAGTCCAGTTACAGCCAGCACTGGCCCAGCAGCCTTAAGGACCTCATTACAGTCACTAAAGGTTCCGGATGGGCATGACTGGAGAATAAAGACTGAAAGCAGGAATCCAGCGCACAGCAACACAGCTCCAAAAACAAAAAGGAAAAAAATAAGTTTCCCATGCTGTCCGTTATTTCCTTCACCTCCTGGTGCAGGAACAGCCACTGGATACATTACAACAGAATCTCTTCAAGCAGATGAGTTGTTAGCATTAAATGGCAGCAAACTACAGCAGATCTGTGAACATGAAAATACACAAAACAAAAGAAAAAAAACTCAGCGAGACTAGCTACATTATATTTTCTACTTCGAAATTTGCTACTCAGCTTTTATTGTATACTCTCCTGTACTTCCTCTTTTGTAGTACCTCCACTATGGATTACAGGGCCTAATCAAGTCTGCTGATGTTAAATGCCAATAAAAAGACTGAACTTGCTTTACAGTTATACTTAAATCAACTGTAATTGCTGTTGCACAGCTAAATGAATTGTTTCTTTGGAGAAACAGTCTTATGATTAAGGGGACATTATTTTCAAAGGCTGAAAATTTGGAACAAGCACAGGTTAGCTTTTCCCTCGAAAACAGAAAGCTATAGGAAACTTCTGTGACCAGCAGGGAGTGACAGCTTTTGAAAGACAGTATCCTACTGCAAATAAGCAATGACTATTGGACTTTTTAACCATACCTTTTCAAAGCACATAAGTCTTGCTTCTCCTTCTACAGGTAATAAAGTCCTTTCTGTTTCTCTTCTTAAATAAGCTTCCTGTCCTATACAGTTGCAAAAAAGTAAGCATAGAGAAGATTTTTCATTCTGTTCTGAAATGACCAAAAAACCACCAACCCCCAAACCCCCCACATTATAAATACCATGTAGTTCAACTCTCACTGATTCCATAGTTAGAGTTAGTAAGCACAGTGCCGCTACACTTCAACTTCCCCTACTTCTGAATCCTTTGTCTGTGTTCCAAAAATTTTTAAAAAGAAATTAACAAAGGCAGCTTGCAGAAGGCTTGTGAGCCCACAAGAATCTAGATTCAGAAGTAAAGTAGAAGAAAACAGAAAATAGTGTTGAGGCCAATAACAGCCCATATGGTACTATGGATAACAAATCTGCTGGATGTGGGTAAACTGCAGCTGGGAAAGCCTGACTGAAAGTTAGAAGAGAGTTCCATTCAGTAAGGTCTAGGGAAAAAAACGTAAAAATTCTGCCATTACTGACAAGGAAGTTTGTGTTGCTGTGACACACTGGACTACAGGGCTCAGATGAACGTCTGTACTCACCTCCATGGTGAATAGCAACCACGGAGATCTTGGCTACCATCCATCAAAAGCCAACCTGAAACACAGGGGAAGTTCAGACTACAGAAAAGAAAAGTCTCATGGATAAACCATGAAAAAAGCCATTCCACACCAAGTGTAGGAAGTATCTAAGCATGCTCATGCTGCACTGTTTTACCACTGCCCTCTTCCCCTTACCAGCAGTCTCCTGTGACAGAGAATTTCACCTATGAATTAGACATATGAGGAAGGATATATATAGGGACTGGTGAAGTTTGTCACAGATGGAAGCAGGAAACTGACTTAGTTACTGCTGTTTGTTAGTTAACCTTCAGCCTTTTCTCTACCAGCTTCCACTGCCCTGCTACTAATTCAGATGACTGGAAGCTAAAAAAAGTCCAATTAGATTGGATCCTCCTTACATATGCCTCACCAACAGTTATTCCACAAGAAAAACAAAGTATCATGAGATTCCTGGAAGAAAACTGTTGAATACCCGTCAGCCACAACATGCTTTTTGTGTCACTCCCCAGTAACTGAAGCGCCCCACTGGGATGAAAACAAAACACAACCATAAAACCCCCTAGTCACTCAAATATATAATTATTTATCTGCAATGCAAGGAAATCTATTCAGTCACTACTTAGCCACTTGTAAGAGCAGAATCCAAATAAAGAATTGGCTGAGCAGACGCACGAATGATGAAGTTACAACAGGTTTTACTGTTGAACACCAAACGAGGTCCACCAACAGCACAGGAGAAGGCAGAGCATATCACGCAGGTAAAAGGCACAGTAAGCACAAGACTTGACAGGTAAGGAAACACAGAAAGAAGGCCACTCCAGGAAGCAACAAAATCTCCTATCTGGCTATCTTGAATAGTAAAACTGAAGGACCTTCCCTTAATGTGTTCCATTACTGTGATCACTTAATTGGTAAACTATGTCTGCAAAGTGTTTCTGAATTCAGCCTACCCCTCTACTAAGATTGATCTGAAAAACTGCTAACTGAGGCTCCCTTGGTAGAAGAGTCAGATACACACCGGGGAAAAAAATTGGTTATAAAGAGCACTAAAGATAGGACAGCTTGTCACAAAAAAAAAAGAAATTACAGAAATTCTGATTGATTTCAAATGGAAGACCTTTACCTCAGCACACTTTCAATACTGCACGAGCTATAGTCAGTCTGAAGGCTCTTCTTCTGAGGAGAGAAAACGGATTGGGTTGGTCACCCTTCCTTGATTACAGTGGTCTTTCCTAAGTTAATAAAATTGTTTCTGATAACTGCATATGCTCCTTCCTGTCTAGAAGTTTTCCCTATTCTCATAAATTATCCGAGGTGGCTGAGATTTACTGACTTACCAAAAAATACACAAAACTGACTAAAGGGCCTCTGAAACACACATAGACAAAAAAAAAACACCAAAAAAAAAAATCCCAACAAAACCCAGTTCCAGACACAATTGTCTTGAGATATTTTTCTGCTGAGGCACATTAACCATTATAACAACAACACATTATAATTAGACAGAACTCTAAAGCCTTTCTTTGCAGTTCCCTTTAGGGAAGAAAACATGGACATAAGTACAAGTAAATTAGGAAAAAAGAAAAGAATGTGAAGGGGAGAAGAAGAAGTAAATACAAATGTATAGCCCTTAAAAAGAAAAATCTAGAGATTTGTTCTTGTTACTCCAACAGAGCGCCTGCTTCTCTTCCACCAATCTTGTTGTTATGAGATTAAGTTAAAACACACATTAGAAATTAAGCTTGTGCATATTTTTTCAATTCTTTCAGGCCACAAAAGAAGGAACATTTAGAACAGTCTGTTGTGGCTTTGAAGATGAAAGCCACAGATTTTGTGCTGCAAAATCCAAGAGAGGACTAATTTTCATTTGCACTATCATGAAATTTAAACAGAAAACCCCACGTAAGATTAAGCTTTATTTCTTGCGTTTCAATAAAAAGTATCTTAACAAAGAAGTAAGCCTTAAATTGACTGTGTGCTTGAAATATTTCCACTAGATCTGATATCCCCACAGGCATATTGATATAGGGGAATTTACCCTATGGGGAAAAGGGAATTGGAAACATAGCTGGTAAAGGAAGTCTGGTTATAAGCTTAACTTAAAAGATATAGTGCTTTACCTTTTTCTAAGTCAGGCCCATGCCAGGTATATGGAACAGGAAATAACATCACAACTTCTTACCACTTCTGTGTGTAACAGTTGTATTACAACTTTCACATTATGGACAACTTCAAGAATTTGAAAACATTTCTAACACAATTCTTCTTCAGCCTTCAGAGGACAAAAGAGTCCTATTGTCCAAGATTTCCACTGCAAACAGCAGGGCTATAAATTTACTTTCCTCTTACTTATATGGAATGTGATAGCCTCATGCAGACATTATGAATTCAGGAACACAGAATTAAAAAGAAAAAAAAAAAGGCACTGGAAGAATTACAACACTGCTAACCCTCTGTTTTTTATGCTTCCCAGACTAGGCCCAGTTCTCCCTCTTTTTGCTTGCAAAAGCATACAAATACTTTCATGCAGAAGGATCAGGTCTAGTCTGTATTGCTATTTCAAAAACTATAATACCCTGTCAGCTGTAGTCCACAATGGAAATCCCAGTAGAATTTTCAAGCCATCGTTTTCAAGGACTTCAAGTTTTTCACTTTTTCCAAAGTTTGAACTGCTATTGGGAAGTTGCCACTGCGTGATTATTTTTTGTCATGTCTTCGTTTATTTTTCTTCCCAGGTTTCAAATTAAATCACGATTCCTTATAGGTCAAGCTACCCGTAAGGAAAAATTCTCTTGACTTCATTCAGTTTAACTTCCATGTCAAAACATGAACGGCTCCCTACTTCTTCTCATTCCTTGTGCCAAATTTCCTTCTTTGTTCTCATCTGCCTCCATACCCACACCATTTTCTGTTCTTTACACACAGTTTCCCCCTGGACTGGACTCTTAACCTGACATTCAGCAGAGACACCCATCAATGAGTACAGCTGATTAAACTAAATTGGAATGTGCAACCTTCATCCCCACACTCTTCCCTCCCCATGGAGGAACTTATTTGAAGAACTAGGGGGAGATGCTCAAAGGATGTACTTTCAGTTTTCTGCTTTCAAGCAACATTAAGACTACATACTCTAACAAGTTCTGAGACGTCAAATACATCCAATTTGATCTCTTATGCATGCAGTCTCTAATCAGTGCTTGACAATGCTCTTACATCACAGAATATACAACTCTGATATCCTAGGAGGAAGATTACTGTGCGTAAAGATTACTAAGGAGGGAAACTCTGCCCCAGAAACTCTGCCCATCCAGGTTGACAAAATCATTGTTTCAGCTCACAGTATAGGAAGGGTAATGCTGTGCTATGACCTATGACTTGCAGGTGGGGCAGGAGTCAGTGTCTAGAGAAGTGCTAGAAAACAGTTGCAGTAGGAAATTCCAGAAAGTGGGATCCTGCCAGTTTCCAGACACATGTGCCCCAGGGATCCAGGGATCCTTCTCACCACAAACCAGCACTGTCAGGGATTTTGATCTGTGCTAGACAGAACTGCATTCTGCAAAGCTGCCAACTCCTGTCTCTTTGGCCTTCAAGAGAAAAGCAGCTACAGTAAAAGCTGATCCACATATGTTCCTCACTCACTTCATCAGGGAAGAATACTGATGCCTCAGCTGGATGCAAGGATCCCAAACAGTGAGGAGCTTGCAAAACAAAGCTTGGTAACCTGATGGTTGGATGCCATGCAGGCAACTAGGACAGCACCTAGATTCAAAGATTAGCTCCATGCTTGTGGGTGGGATGCTTTTTATGTGACACACTAGTGGCACACAAGAGCCATGGTAAAGCATCTCCTATTTTCTAGAGTACCTGCAGGGAGACTGGGGAGAAGGTAGACACAGTTAAAGCCAGAGCTGACATTTTTCAAACAGGTAACACAAGACAGATCAGTTATGGGAATTCTGTCCCATAGGGCTGATGTACCTCAAAGCAGCAAAAGGCACAAGACAAAGAGACTTACAGATCTCTGATGCACAGGACAGACCATAGAGACCATCAGGGAGATGTAGGGCTCCAAAAGCTACCTGAAGCTACCTGAAGCCATCCTGTCCCAGCTTCTTGAGGCTGGCCTGGGGCATTAAGCCACAGACAACTTAATGGACAAGCAAGTAAGCTCTACTCCACCTAGGAAAGGCAGCATTCCATGGTACACCCCTCCTCCCGTGCATCATCCAGGAGCAAGGAGTGGGGCAGGGCAGCCTGTCCACCACCTCTCCGCGAGGGAGCAGCATCTGAGCCTCCTCACCTGTGCACTCCCAGTCGTATGCCAGCATCAGCCACGAGAACACTATGTGTCAGCAGAATAGCCTTCAGAGATATTCCATCCTCTCACAGAGATGGCGTAAAGCTCACTGTGGAAGCAGTATGGGGAGCCGTGGGCTCTCCAGGAAGAAGACCGGACACTTACGCTCCTGATAATTCAGACTCCGGTCGGGGGCAGCTCCGCTCGCACCCTGCAGGAGAGTGAAAACACGGGAATGGCGGCGGGTGGGAGACGCGGCACGACCCCGCTCGCCCGCCACAGCCCCTCGCCGGGGGCAGACGGAGGACGAGCCGCCCCGGTGGCGCCCGCCCCCGCCCCCCGCGGCCCCTCTCACCGCTCTCCCGGGCTGCCCCCACAGCCGGGACGGACCGTCCCCAACGCCCCGGGACCCGACTGTCCCCAGCCCGCCCTGCCATGGCGGAACAGCCGCAGGGCCCCGCGGCCTCCCCGGGCGGCGCGGGCAAAGGCGGCCTGCGAAGAGGTCCCTTGCCCGACCCCCTCTTACCTTCCCGCGGCGCGAAGGACGCGGCAGCGCAGCCGGCGCCGCTATTTAAGCACCTGCGCCCGGCAGCTCGGGGCAGGGCCAGGCCGAGCCGCCCGGGGCAGCGGCGGCGCAGCAGCAGCACCGCCTCCCCCGTGCCCAGCGCCCCGCCCGGCGGCGGCCCCGGCCGGCCCGGAGGGGTGGCGGGATCCGCCCAGCGGGCTGCGAGCTGGCCCCGGGGGGTTGTGTACGCTGCCCGGCTGCGACATCGCGAGGGTGGTGTGCCGGAGCACGGGTGCAGGTCGCAGGCCTGTGGCAGGCACCGCTGGAGTCTTGTGTACGTAGAAAGGCCTAGGGTGCCCCTGAAATACTGTGGCTTCGAGGTAAGGTAGGTGAGCAGCCCTCTGAGGGAGGTAGTGCCACGTCTCCGACTTCAGGAGCCCTTCTTTTTCTCGTCACTTTAGACTTACCAATGTTTGCCTTGCTTCCGCACACTTGGGAACTTGCTAGGCATTAAAGACAGGCAGAGCCTACATATGACAGTTTTCTTTCAGTGTAGCCAGTGGAAACGGGAGAAGATTCCTTCTTGCTAGGTATAGGCAGCATGGAGGAAGAAGCTGGCTCAACTTTTGGAAGTTGAGACAAGAGAGCTGTGACATGTAATAAACAGCTGTGTGAGAGGACAAGGAGCCAGGGAAGAAAGATCAGGATGTGCCGCTTGTAAGTGGTGTAGCAGCGGTAGGACAATGGGTGAACGACACTGGGACTAAATCTTGCCCAGCTGGTTAGTGGCAGCCTGGTAGCCAGTGAAGTGTGGGGGAAATAGTTTGAGTGAGTTTATGCAAGTCAAAACAAGATGAGCCAGGACAGGGATAGAGTGATGCCCAGAAAATAGATGTCAGGAGGAAAGGAGAGTGGATTAAAGTCTTGCTTGACAGGGAGATAGTTTGGCTACATGGTAAGACTGGGAGGAAATAGTACATATAGGTTTTTGAAGGCAATCTGAATTTGGGTAGAGAACTAAGCAAAACTTGGAATTGAATTGATAACCAAGGAGCATATGAAAGTATACATTGGGTGTAGGAAGGAGCTTGTAATGGAGTAGAAGACTTCAAGCTCTCCAGAGCTGTATGTTCCTGAGTGTTAGTGACCCTTTGGTATCTCAACGGTTTTATGTCCCGACTCAGCTACCACCGACTGGAAGGTGACTTCAGTTATGAAACACTTCTGATACTGCTGTGAAGGGTCTCATGGTAAGGAGAGACTGGGAAGTAACAATTCTTGTGTTCTGTAGTGAGGAAAATATTTCAATGAAGAAAAAACCAGGGCATTTAAAAAAAGCCCAAAGAGAATGAAAGAAGATCAGCGCTGCTTGTTAGAAACACAAGATGAAGATTAATTGTTGCAAAGAGTGAAAGAGCATCAGAATGTAGAATCAGACTATTTTATGATGTCTGACAACAGTGATATAAGGAGATTTACTTACATGTATATGTCGGTTTCCTAATAGCTGACTCTGGTTCTCTTGTTTTTCCAATATAGAGCTTAAATAATTAATAAAAACATTTCAGTATGAAGTACTTTGTCAGGCCAAACTTCCTTCAGTTGTCTGATACTATTAAACTATCGCTGCTGTGATATATGTTCTGTCTCTTTTGCTGTTGTATAAACAGTTTTTTCATTTTATGTAAATACTTCTTGTACCAAATCTAACATGTCAAGAATTTCAATTTAAAAACAACAACAAAACAAAACCAAAAGCAAAAAAGGTCACTCTTAACAAAAGTTAACAAGCTTGTTGGCTAGTATCTTCCCAAAAATTATTTCTCTCTCCAAAGCTTGTCATCAGCCTTTCCCCTCCATCCACCACTTGGGTTTTTTGTAGTGTTGGGCTTATGGATTTGATCCCCATGATGAAAGAAGGGATTTCAGGGACATCAGTCTTCAGTTCTTGAGATTGTGACTCAGCCTGGTATGAGTTCTGAGTGGATTAAGGGGCTGTTGATTCCTGTCATGGGACTGCAGTTATAAAAGTGAAATCTTGAGCCATATCCTGTGATTTAAGATAGGAATTATTTTTTTAACTATGTTTTTTTTAACTTTTAACACAGTAACTGTTTAAGTACAGATAATGAGTATTTTAATTCCAAAGTGTAAGTGGTAATATTTGGCAAAAATGGAACCACATTATGTTTTGCAATACAGAAAAATACTGAGAGAGTTGTTTGTGTTAAGTCTGGACAGCATTGTATAACAGTAGTTTTTGGATGCTAGTGGTAGTAGAGAAAATTACTTTTTGACTGGCATGGAACACAATCCTACAGCTATGGAAAAGTGCAGTACATTCATAGCTGGAGTATGACAGAGAATCCAGAACTACCGGAAAGTCATTGCTTTTGAAATTATTTCTGGGGTCGCAGTCAGTAACACTTGTGAAGACACTGACAAGAAGAATACCATTTGGGATGATGAGCAGAGAAATACAGTGGTTGATGATTTATTGACTGGAAATCAGTTGAGGCTATTCTGATGGGAGCCACTACTTAAGGCAATAATCCGATGATATATAAATGGGAATTACTAACTTCTCATTCCTCTTTTTTTTTTTTTAATTGAGCAAACATGCTTATAAATGTTTGAACTGTTTGAATCGTTTGACTAAAGATGATGCTCTCTACAAATGAGGGCACAAGTGCAGTAACTAAGACTAAATGCTGGTTGGTCACTTCTAGATTAAAATTCCACTGTGCAGAAGAGATGTTAATCTGTTATGAGCAATATGAGATGCGTCAATAAAACCACAGCTGTTGAAATTAGACATGCGAAATACTGGATGTGCAGAGATTGTGCTTTAGTTCAAAACATTAAGCATGATCTGCAGAACCTTTTCAGATGCTTGAAAACACAGCAAGAGAATCCAGGCTATCCTAAAGTGTCCTGGTGAAAATGTAACTACTAAAGAAATACCTAGTGTTTATAATTTACAGCACACTTTAAAGCTTTGTAAAACATCTCTGAGTCAAGGCAGATGCTACTTGCTTTGTTTCAGTCACAGCTAACCTCTTGTTAGTATGCTTTGAAGCAAGAGCTGCTGAAGAGTGCATGGAATAAATGCATAGTGAATTTTAACTTATAAATTGCTACTTGCTTGCTGTGATGGTGTGGACCAAATGAGATGATGATGCCCAAGTCAAGAGTGACCCAGTCCTCCAGCTCCCATTAAGTTCTGTACAGCCAGTTCACAGCAAACAGTCAGTGTGCATAGAAACTGCAAAGCTCAGTTGAATAGCTAAGAACTGTGTGTTTTGCTTTATTTAGGTTCTGGTAGAGTCAAAAGAGCTATACTTAGAAATACAAGGATATGAAATGTTTGTTTTATTAGGATAGTCAATAGTCAGAAGTGACAAAAGCATTGCTGTCAACATTCAGTAAGCTTTGGACCAAACTTAATTAACCCTGAAATAGTTCTCTGCAGTTTGGCAAATAGCTACAAAAGAACCACAGAAAAGAGTATCATGCTGACTATACTGGAAGGGAGGGTGAATGAGGTACTGGCACCCTCCCCACAAAACAGCAGCCAGCTGAGTCTGTGGCACTGTGCTCATGCAGCATACCCTAGTGACCTGTGAAGATCCCTCCTCCAGGAGGAACTGAGAAAGACCCAGTAAGAAGACCAAGCTGACTGTTCTCTTCAGAGCCTGGGCATGCTAGTGGTGTTCATGACCTGGCTGATGGTCACTGTCTCTTCTTCCTAAATCTTATTTCCCACCCTTCCTGCTCCATCCCTTTAAAAAGTGTGTGAATGGAACAGTCTTATATGTCTATTAGTAAATCATGGAATCACAGAATTGGAATGGTTTGGCTTGGAAGGAACATTTAAAGGTCATCTAGTTCAACCCCCCTGCAATAAGCAGGGTCTTCTCCAGTAAGATCAGATTGCTCAGAGCCCTGTCCCATTGCTTCCAGGAATGGGGCACCTACCACCGAACTGGGCAAGCTGTTCCAGTGCTGCAACACCATCATCATAAAAAATCTCTTCCTTATATGTACTCTGAATATACCCTCAATTCAGTTTAAAGCCTTTATCCTATTGCAATAGACCATGATTGAAGGTCTACACCCATCTTTCTTATAAGCCTTCTGTAAGTATCAAAAGGAAGTGAGAGACAAGTGATTAAAAATTAATGAAATTCAAAGAGGTTATTCATTAACCATCATAAAAATCAAATAGCTTTGTTTTGACCAGGAGAGGTAGATCCATATCTCAAATCTGCATCTTAATTTTTTGGATTTGCTTATTCTGCTTGCATTTGACTTTTAAGAGAAAGGCATGACAGCTATTTCAGCTGGTGGCACTGGTAACGCATAACCTGTTGCACTGCACTGTGATGGCACTGAGATGAAGAAATGAGGATAAGCCCTGTGAGTGCTCTTACATGCTACATCCATCAGAATAGGGGTCTGGGCAGAAAACCCTTCCCTGCTGAAGGCTGTGCTGCTTCTTGCAGTCAGAAATTTAATCCTGCAGAAAGGCAGCTTTGTTGTGCTGAAGAAGGAAGCAAAGAGGGATGCAAAGCTCTTCTACTACTTCTCATCCAGTGCATGCAGAGATCCAGTCTGGACTTGAGGAAATATTTCCCCACCTCAGCTGTGCATATTTGAAATCTTAAAAAACACGTAATTTTCTGTTTAAGATTTCATCATCAGTGCCCTTCTTTAAAAGGAACGCAAGGCCAGTAGGTTGGGTATACACTTAACCAGAAAAAACATGCACGTTGACAGTGTGTCATTGACTGAATTGAATTAGCTTTTAAATGTAAATGAGTAAGTTCAGGAGAAAGGACTTCTTTCTACAACCCCTCATGACAAGAAAGACCTTGAGGTGCTGGAGTGTGTCCAAAGAAAGGCAACAAAGCTGATGAAGGGTCTGGAGCAAAAGTCCTATGAAGAACAGCTGAGGGAGCTGAGGTTGTTTAGCCTGGAGAAAAGGAGGCTGAGAGGAGACCTCATCGGTCTCTACAACTACCTGAAAGGAGATTGTAGTGAGGTAGGTTTTTCTTTTTTTCTCCTTCTTAAATATATTATCATAGTAGTGTTATTGCCTTCTCTGATTGGCTCAT